AAGACTTAGAATTAGTGGGAAGACTTTACAGGAGTCGCAATAGCTCACATCCTGCAGAAGGCATGGAATGTCTGCCCCACTCCAAAGCTTATAAGTAGGGCCACTGTTTTCCTTCAGTGTTTTACTTCAAAGAGGTGCTTTGATTACCTCTCCAACCAAATAGTTTCCACTCCTTTGAAGTTCTGCACAGTCCCAGCATTATGCCGGCAGGATATTATTTCCAAATAGCAAGGGCTGAGTCCCATATGAAGGTTCATCGCTCCTAATGTCATGACTGCTTGAATGGTAATGTCCAAGGATAAAACATCATTTCTTTCTTTCTTTCTTTCTTTCTTTCTTTCTTTCTTTCTTTCTTTCTTTCTTTCTTTCTTTNCATAGGTAAGTAAGTTGTGTAGGTGGCTTCTATGGTGGCATTGAATTCAACAGGATTTATTCTTAACTTTGTAGAACCTAGCCACTGATAGTGCTTTAGTTTTTAATTGTATTGACCACATTGTGTGTATTACCCAAAACCGTGTGTGTGTGTGTGTGTGTGTGTGTGTGTGTGTGTGTACAGATGCGTGCTTAGGATGGCATTTGTCTACCTCCCTTTGTTACATCCTCTATTTCTGTGATTTTTTTCCCTATTTTTATTACTTTTTATACCTCTTCCTATCTGATTTGTTCAATTTGCATTTTTGAACTTTTCCTTATACACCTTGTTATTCCATCTGGATTGACTCCAATGATCTTTTTTCTTTAAAAAAAATCATTGTTATTTGTTATTTTGGCTTTCCTTTATCCTTGTTTTCACTTGCCTTCGTTTCTTTGTTCTTGTTTGAAAAGTAGTTCCAGGATTTATTTTGAATCCTGGAAATACGTAATCAAATAGCTAGTTTCTTAACTTCAGAGGTGTTTTTCTTTTTTTAAAAAAAATAATCCCACTGATTTTATATTTCAGTAAATATCTTTGAGCTGCAGTCCCAAAAGAGTTACCCCTAAATGTATTGATTCCTGACAGAGGCAATCTAGAATTACTGCCAGGTGCAATCTAGAATCTATTGTAATAAATATTCAGAGATTATAATGCAGCCTATTTATAAACAAAAAATGTTTTGATTAGATGCAGAATATTCTTGGTCATCACAGAAAGTGTCAGTGTTATTTAATGTTTAGGGTTGCCCACATTAATGTATTATGACAGCAAAGCTAAACCTTAAATAACACAAAGTTTCTCTTGAAGAAGATTCAAGTTTTCAGTAAGTTTCTAATATATGAAAAAAGTTATTCCTGATTTATCGTCCCTGCAAGAAACAATGCATTAATTGGGATTCTAGATAACTCTTTACTCTAAGGAAGTTCCTCTGTTCTGAACAGAACTCAGTTATTGCTCTTAACTTAAGGATGGACTCTGGAGCAGAAATCCAGAACATAAGATAGAAGGTGCTGAAGTGTTGGAAGGAACTCAAATGTTGCCACTGCCATATAAAATCAAAAATGCTCTGTAACTTCTTAACTTTGTATTAATATACAACCACTGTTGTAAAGAATAGGACCATTGTAAACCAATAGTTGCTTATAGGCAATAGCTTGTTGACTTATCATGGAGGGTCAACAATCATTTTGCAATACATTGTGAATAATTGTTTTGGGGGGGTGCTTTTTCACTTCTAGTCTATGCTTTGTACTCCGAAGTCCATCTTGCTTCTGCCATCTCATGTTTAAGTCTATTGACTTCACTGAAAATTATGAAGATATGAAACTGCCTTAGACAGTGAAGACTTTTGGCCAGTCTAAAGTAGAACTGATATATACAATGTTTGGTGGCATTCTAAAGAATTTTAAAAATGCCTAAGGCGTTGTAATGTCTAACAATTTATATAAAAAAAAATTAATCTGCACATTATGCAGGAAGTTAAGCTGGAACTCACATGATGGCAAGCACACAATGTTGGCATCACAAAAATTTCACCTTCCTATAAGGGTAACAATGCCTGAAGCAAGTACCTAAATTGTGGGATTTGCATCACAATGTCATCATGTTGGTTTCATTCATACCCCCTACTCCTAACCTCCCCTACTACTATGCTTATGAAGTGTTGGAAGGATGTATAATAATAATCGGATTGGGAAAAACTGGAAAAAAATATTGGAAAATAAAACAGTTGCATTTTCTTAATACCAGGTTTTGGAGCTTAGATGATAGGATGATTGCTTACAGTTGCCCAAAGTCAACCTATTTAAAAGGTAGCTGGAATAGGAATATATAGAAAAAACAATTATTGCCAAACTGCTTTCCATTGAGGATCTGCATATTGCATGAATCAAAAAGAGGGCCGTGAAAATATTTACAGACCCCTTGTATACTGGACATAAATTGTTTCGACTCCTACCCTCAAAACGATACTATAGGGCACTGCACACCAAGACAACTAGACACAAGGACAGTTTTTTTTCCCAAACGCCATCACTCTGCTAAACAAATAATTCCCTCTTCACTATCAAACCATTCACTAAGGCTGCATTACTATTACTATTAATCTTCTCATCCTTCTCATCACCCATCTCCTCCCACTTATGACTGTAATGTTTTTGTTTGTATTCTTATGATGTATATTGATATTGATTGTCTCCTGATTGCTTANTTAATAACCGCAGTGATTCACTTAACAACAGTGTCAAAAAAGTTCATTAAAAATGGGACATAACAACAAAATGACCTCAACATACGACAAAACTTGTAGTCGTAAGTTGAGGACTACCTGTATTTAGGTGAAGGGTTAAGACGCTTTTTTTCCCCGCTAGGCTTTTGAGACGTTTCAATACTACTGCAGAGTACATAGTGTCCACATTATGGATTGCTTGTTAACCACTGATTCTCAGACTGCGTTTCTATGGCTGCAGATATTTTTAATATCGATTACATTTTGCAATTTTAATATCTCTCTTGGCATAGTCTAAAAATACTGCAGATAACAAATGGTTTCTTGCGATTAAAAACTCCTTTCCCCCGTATCCAATCTAACTTTTTCTCTAGCATGTTATATGAAAAGGTTTTCCCTTCAGAATGATGACAGAGCCACACATTTCTTTTGCTAAGCAATGCAGTTGTTATTATGCTACACAAACATTTTACATATTTTTTTGCCACGGATGTTAAGCGAAACCACTACGTTGTTAAGGGAATCATGCAATCGTTAAGCGAATCCGGGCACCTGCTCTGACTTCGTTTGTCAGAAGATGTCTGGATAGGTTACACATGGCGATCGCATGACCCCAGGATAGTGCACCTGTGATAAATACATGCCAGTTGTCCAGTGTCCAAAGTTTGATCATGTGAGCACGGAGATACTGCAATGGTCGTAAGTATGAAAACCGGTCAGAAGTCACTTTTTTCAGTGCTGCGGTCGCTTCGACTAAGTCACTAAACGAATGGTTGTAAGAGTTACGACCAGAACTAAACACCAACATTTCTGTTGTGAAGTGAGACATTTGTTAAGGGAGTTTTACCCCACTTTATGACCTTTCTTGCCACCGTTGTTAAGTGAATGACTGCAATTGTTAAGCGAGTAACCCAGTTGTAAAGCGAATCCGGCTTCCCCATTTTGACTTTCCTTGTCAGAAGGTCCCAAAAGGGGATCACGTGACCGTGGGACACACACAACAACCGTCATAAATATGAACCAGTCACCAAGCATCTGACTTTTCATCACGTGACCATGGAGAATGCTGCAAAGATTGTAACTCTGGAAAACCATCATAAGTCACCTTTTTCAGTGCCGTTGTAACTTTGAACGATTACTAAACAAACTGCTGTAAGTCGAGGACTACCTGTACTTGGATCCATCTAGGGCAGGGGTGTCGAACTCAATTTCATTGAGGGTCGCATCAGGGTTGTGTTTGACCTCGGGGGACCAGGATGGGCATGGCCAGCTTGATGTCACTCATGTCGGGGTTGCCTGTGGCAGCCCAAATGCTCTGCCAGCAAAACCTGAGCTCCAATTCGGCTGCAACAGCCTCCTGCGGCCCTCCCGAGCTCCATTTTTGCTGGCAGGGGCACTCTAGGCTGGTCCTTCACTGTTTCCAGGATGGCCCCACGGGCCAGATCTAAGCACCCTATGGGCTGGATCCGGTCCCCGGGCCTTGAGTTTGACACCCCTGATCTAGGGATAAATCTTTCAATGTGTTGTGGCCCTCCAGTGGCCAGCGAAGCTAGTGGCAGACTCAGACAGTGAGGAGATTGGGGAGGAACATGGGCCAGTCCTGGAGTCTGGGGAAGGCTCGGACGAGGGCTCAGTGTCGGAGGCAGAGAGGGGGCCAGGGCTGTATGCCAGTTATCAGCTGCCTTCGGAGTCAGAGATCAGTGGGGCAGAAGAACAGCTGGAGCCTGTNTTATAAGATATACGAACCAGAGTCCTGGCAGGAGCTTTATTGAGCTCCCGACGGCGGCAGCTCCTCCCCTCGAAGCCCTTATATCTTTTTTCAAAAGATATGACAAAAATAGAGAGAAAAATGTTCAATAATCTACTATAGAGGTGGGATCTTCATCAGCTATTTGATTTTCTCAACAATCCACAAGCCACAAATGCCTGAAAAAATCCTGTGAGATCTCACTAGGATTACATAAATCATACTAGAACAAGGGAGAAAAGCCATAAAGAATTATTTCCAGCCATCCCATTCTGTGTCATAGGAGACACATTTTTAATAATGTTTGCTGTTGTTGGCTTCTCTAGACATATCAACATTGTTCCTGTTCTGTTTTGTTTGGGGATGGGGGGAGTTAGCCTACTGAAAGATAGACAAATGGACCAAGTCTCAAATCTTTTAGATAATCATTTTCCAAGGTTCCATCAAGTTGGAAAGAATAAAAAGTGGAGACTAAGCCAAAAGCCCTTTTTCAAGCTTATTTTGTAATGACAAGTAATTTCTTTATTTTTTTCAGTTTTAACATTCATGCAGAACACTGATGCAGAAAATCTGATGAAATAAATATTTTTCTTTGAAGAAAATATACTCACCAATAACTGAGGTGTCTGAAATTACTAAATGGGATACTGATCCTGTGTTTTAGTTCCTGAGCCCATTGAACCCCTCCAGCCACCAAAGGCATATTCTTATGCACTGGTGAATACCCTGAGAAACAAAATTCAGTCTGAAACTCAAAACACACCAACATTCTAAGTAGGTTTAATATTAATAATGTAGATTGCTAAAATACCAAAAAGAATCCTAACTTCCAACAAAAATCTCAGTCAGGGAACATGCTGTCCCTGGTTAAATATGTGACATAGACACATTCCCTGATACCATCCAGCTCATTGGAAGGATCAGTTTTCCAAAAACTGTTAATTGTCAACTGAAGTCATTAAAAACCCCTGATATTATAACACCTGAAAAGGTCTTTTTCCCACCAAAAGTGAATTCCAACTGATCACACTGATATTCAACTCTATACTTCTCTAGCAATCTACAATTAAATAACAACAACAACCAGGAGCCCTTACTTCTAAAACAAAATAAAACTTGGGAATGAACATTAAATGAAGCCCAGTTGAATAACCCGATATTGGGATAATACATAAAAAGGTAAAGGTTCTAGTATGTGCTAGTTGTTCCTGACTCTAGGGAATGGTGCTCATCTCGGTTTCAAAGCCAAAGAGCGAGTGATGTCCCAAAACAGTGCTGGTCATGTGGCTGGCATGACTAAACTCCGAAGGCACATGGAACACTGTTACCTTCCCACCAAAGGTGGTTCCTATTTTTCTACTTGCTTTTTTACATGCTTTCGAACTGCTAGGTTGGACAAGTAATGGGAGCTTGCTCCGTTATGCGGCGCTAGGAATTCGAACCGCCGAACTGCCAACCTTTTTGATTGACAAGCTCAGCGTTTTAGCCACTGAGCCACCGCATCCCTATTGGGATAATACAGAGTATATCGTCATTTTTACACCATCTTCACTTTGCATAGCTGTTTATGACATCTTTAATCTAAAAAAGAAAATTGCCTATAATGACAATTAGGTAAGATAATTGATCCTTGTGGCAATTTTAAAAAATGAAACTGCTTATATTAATACTTCCTATTAAATGAATATTAAGTATTAAGACTTTTTAAACATGTACCTGTGTCTGTCACCTCCTCAATACATTTAAGGTAAATCAATTTAGCATCATCAAGGTCTTTGTCAAACATTGTGATGAGAAGATTATATTTATCATAGGCTTCTGCTGCTATCATTGGTCGATCCAGGAGGCTTCCAAAAATGTCTATCAGCTATCACACAGAAAAAAAGGAAAGAAACTGAACGTGCCCTGTAATCATCATTTACAAACAAGAATCCTTGTCATTGCTCACATATTTTCCTACATGAACTAGCTGTGAAAATGCATACAATTGTAATTATTTCAACGTTGTAGCCAACATTAAACCAATATTAAGTATGGATCTATTGAAATATAAAAATCCATAAACTAGTACCTCGACATAATGAGCATTTGTTGTTATTTAAAAATAACTAGGACACATTTCCTATGTTCTGCAGTAGCTCAGTATAACAAATTGCAAACCTTGAATGCATGCTCCACACTAGCAGCGTCATCAAAGGCTAGGCCAAAGAGAGTTCCCAACCGCCGATCAATATCTTCCATTTTGCTCTTAAAGTCACAAACATCATTCTCAAACTCCTAAAGGAACCAAATAAATATTTTATGAATGAAGCCATTTCTGACTAAGCAGGATTTTCAACACTTTTTACTTTATGTTTGATCCCTAAAGCCCTCTTTAGCAAAGGTACAGAGCGTCTACTCTCCTAGAGTCCAAAATCACCCACCGTATTAGCCACATCCAGACAGTCGTACGTCCGTTCTGAAAATACTTTATACATTTCCTGGAATTCTTCATGCATACTCAGGACTTGTTGACTCAGAGCTTTGCCTTTTATGCCACTAAATTCCAGCTTCTCCAGTTTCTCTATGTCCAGAACTGTCATCAGAAGATCCTACAGAAATCAACAATTCACAGTTTATATCGTTGATATTTAGGCCGGCTTTTGGACTTACGGATAATATTACATACCGATTATCCAGCCCAAAATTTTAAAAACCCAAAACGTTTTTCAGATAATTTATTTCTCATCCCCAATGTAACACATAGTTTTTTGAGCAAGATAATTGGTATTTATCAACTTATAGACAGGCTTCTTTGAGAGGAAGACAGCATTAAGTCACAGGTACTATCGCTGTCAGTGCTGATAGACAAGCATGTTGATCAAGGACATTTTAATATTACTACTGGATCTTATTATAAGTCTGTTCAAAAGGAACATCTTCTGTAACCATGAGCCATTTCACACATTATGTGAATATATATGTGTGTGTGTGTTTTATTTGTGCTGATAAATAAATAAAGGGAGACTAGTATAGATCTATTTCAAGCTATTTAGCTCTCATCATATATATATACACACACACACACACACACACACACACATACATACATATACATATATACATACACACATACACATATATATATATATATATAT